AAATGTCGGCGTTCTCTACACTCCGGAGGCATGCTTTCTCCTTTATTGCAGCAGTTTTGAAGCCCCTAAAGCTCTTTTCCTTAAGATCGAAAGGACAAAAAGACAGAAACCGGGCATTCAGTATGTAGAAGTAGAGCGCTTCAGGATGCATACACGTGCGGGCTGCTGGACTAATACACAAATTGCAAAAGCGTGAAAACATCACTACCTTACAAGTGGAACTCTCAAAACAGGATCATGTTCAGCAAGTTTTGCAAACGACACATACCACGAGAAAGCCTTCGATCTTTCCCGTGTCTAGATCTCTCGCCCACACAACCGCCACATCACAAATAGTTGCATTGCCAATCCACCGTTTCCTTCCATTTAAAATGTAGCCACCTTCAGTCCGTTTCGCCGTGGTCCCCAAGCCCCCAGCGTCGCTTCCGTGTCCAGGTTCAGTCAAGGCAAAACAGCCGATCTTTTCCCAGCGGGCCATCTGTGCCACAGGTGGAACTCAAGTGGGACAACTATCCATATAATTGATCTTATACATTCAGTTTCTGTGTATGGCAACTGCAGGCGCCAAACGTGATGCAGACACTGCATGTGAATAGAGAGATGAAACAGAGCAACGGGGAGGGTGGGAGCCTGCCTGGGGGAGCCAATGCTGTTGCTGCTTTCGGGTCCCTGCTACAGCAATAGAGCGCATAGCTAGCCCCGAATGCACGACAGCAAACGTAGCCAAAGATGCGTCCACCCTCGCCATCTCCATCACTGCCAAAGTAGCCTCCGTGTTTGTCAAACCTGCGCAGCCTACACCAGCAGCAGTGGAAAACGAGGAACGCCCAGCATGTAATACTAAAGGTGCGCTTTGGGTCTTAAGACCAAAGCTACGCACGACAAAACAATTAGATAGAAATCCAGCAAGAAAAAATTAAAACAAATGAAGAACCTGGAAGACAAGCCGGGGATCTTCCGACACCAGCCAGTGGCAAGGTTTGCTATGGCTCACCAAACCCCTCAATTTGTAGCCCTGCAGGTCCCATGTCTTTACACGCTTGAATGAAGCGCTTCTCGAATGTAGATGAATCCCACAGCTTAGCAGCGATGGGGCGGATCTGCGTCTCACAGACGTTTCGTATATGTTGTCGCAGCTGTTCCTCGCGGCCAGACAGGTCCTTATTGATCTCAAGAAATGATATGCCATCCAGCACTGAACCCGCAAGGCGCACGCACACATGAACTTGTTGATACTCCGTTTAGATACACAGTATAATGCTGTAACCACCACATCAGCAATTATTTCCATGGCCACTTCTTGATCACTTCACGGACGCTGCGCTGCTTCACCATGAAAAATGCCACTAGCGCCTTCGCGTCAACGCATCCCCTGCGCGCATTCCAATTGTATGAAATTCTGCTCCTTTTGCATTTATTCAACTGCTTTCGTAAAAGGGTTTCAAAGAGGGAGTGCAGCGGAAGACCATAAAACTAACGGGCTTCTTAGACATGTCTCACACTTGTGCGGTCGCACGGCAGCCTGAACGCCAGAGGCTACTTGTAGCTTTGCTGCGGGTCCCATTCTCTTTTATATGTGGGGCAGGAAACTAGGGTAAAGACCTTAAGCTCAATGTTGACGGCTGCGTTGAACTGCGTGTCTTGAGAAGCAGACGGTGCCAACACGTCGCCAGAGAGGCTCCCGGTATTGATATCTATTTCTCCAAATTAAATGCGATATAAAAATGTATGTTCTAAAAACTAAACAACAAGGGTTTTTGTTGGGTTTAAGAGTGAAAGTGAAATGCCCGCTCACCTGGCCTAAGCCAGCCGAGGGGACCAGTGGTCACCGGGTGGTGACCGCGAAAATGTAGCGGGCTTGCGCAGCCACGGCAGTGAACCTAACTTCGCTAAATATCTTGTCAAATCTCAACCTTAAAAATTAATTTAAACGAGAAACGACGGCCAGTCCTACATCAGCTCGGACACCATTATACTGAACTCATTCTCATTGTCCTCCCCCAGTTGTCAGCTCCAGTTGCTTCAGAAGTATTGGATGAAATGAATAATTTGCTTCGCTTAGCCAAAGCCACCCCCTCACCAAACTAAATGTTCCTTGCCTACACTGCACCCGCTTCGCTCACTCTCCGTTCTCGCCACCTCATGCTACACTCCACTAAGTGCAACTGGCAGCATTGTCCTTCTACGCCAGCGAGTCTGGCGAAACTCAATATCAAGCCTCTTACCCCTGAGTAACATGCGTTTCGATAGAAAATTCCACTACATAATCGTTGGCTCCCCTCCAGAACTAAGACTTGTTCTCTTCGTGTCATCAGCCAAGCAGCAAAATATACTTTAAAGAAGTCGACAAGGCTAAGGGAGCCAAGAGCAGTTCATGATCATGTTAGGCAAAGGCTGGCCAAGGGGGCAGCGGGCATTCAGTGCCTCGCTTTGCGTTTCTTTTCTTTTTTGTCCTTGGTGATTGGCTTCTTGGCTACTTTGCTTGCATTGTCTTTCCCCTCTTTTACTGCAGCGCCACTCTTTATCTTGCGATCATCTTTGACTTTGTGGACTACTGCCGACGCTTTTTCCTTTCCCGTTTTTGTTTTTTCACCTTCGCCTCTCTTCGGCTCTGCATTGTTGGCAGGTGGCGCTGTAGTCCTGTAGTACTCTGCAGCCTCCGCGTACTTGGGATGCAGGTAAATTGGCAGGGCAGGTGTATCGGTGGCTTGAATATGAATAGTTGTGATCGTATTTTTCCACTGATGATTCATTTGGAAGAAATCTGCCACCCCCTTGATGGCTGCCACTGCATTTTCGTAAAGATGGTCAGGGTTACTCAAGGCCCTGCCAATGCGAATAGCAAGGGAAGGGCCTCTTTTAATCACCAGCGCTGTGCTGCGCAGCGCCCTCCCCACTTCTCTTTCCAGTGTGGTCGACCCAACGCGAATAGGAAGCGGTAGTCTGCTCACAAAGGACACAAAAAGGAAACTGTAGAAGAAGCTGTGATCTGGAACAACCCACTTGCCTCACTCCTCATACCGCCAATTGCTTGACAGCTAACTAGAGCCAGATATGTTCTACTGCTATAGCTACGCAACGAAAGTGCAGCACCAAAACTAAACATGCAAATTACGCCAACTTTAGGACCGCTGCTGCTGCAAGTAAACTAACATACACAACCTCAACCACAGCAGATAACTGTAGTTCCCAACAACAGAAGCAGGCCCACGCATCACTTGACTCAAACAGTGCATTTATTTACTTGTTGGCTGCGAAGAACACCTTGCCAAGACTATTGTACGTTTTCTCCTTGACTCTGGTGTCGACAACGAACAGGTCGTACGCAGCGCAGAGCGCCCTGCGGTCTGCGAACTGTGGAAACTTCTTCGGCAGTTTTTTGTAAGAAATAACTTTTGAAACCGAGGACAAAGATGGGAGAGATGCAACGAGGTCCTTCCACTTGCGCTGGGGGTCGCGCACTATCAGGCATACTTCACTGTTTGAAGCCAAAGGGCTGTGGGGCAACTCACTAAACACACGAGAGCAGACACACAAAAAGAAATCGCATAATGCAAGCAGTACTTGCTCACGTGCGTGAATACCTGTTTGCTTCAATAGTGCTCAATGCACTGAAAATTATCATCATCAAAAAAGCCCCAAGTGAAGCTGAAAAAGCTTTTCCAATTCTGGCTGCTATGATCTGATATCAAAAAAAGATTTCGGAAATCGAAACTCACATCAGATGGGGATAGATCCGTTGCTTGACCGGTATATTCTGCGTAGAAAACATCAAACTAACTGTGGGACCGCTGTTCATGGCAAGTAGATCTGGCACTTCTTCTTTCTCCTGAAGCTTTTGCACATGCCGGCATAGTGCTTTCACCGCCTTTTCCAAAGCCTGGCAGTCCACAACGCCGCCACTCCCTATTTTGATTACGGTGGGCGCGGAGGCTGCCGGTGCTTGTGGGCAGCCCTTGGCCTTTTCAGCAGTGGTAGGTGTGCTCTTGGCCTTCTTTCGAGGTTGGGAAGGAGATGAAAGTGACTGGGGTGCACTAGAACTTCGCTTTGCCTTGTGTTTTCCGTCGGGTGTATCGACAGAAAGTGGCTTCGCCGCAGCAGCGATCCCGTTCTTCCTCTTCTTCACCTTAATCATTGTCACTTCGTTACTAATGAAGCAACCAAACAATCGACAACGTCCCGTCTATACTTGCCAACCGCGACCGGTCCTTCTGCGGCCGCTCAGGCGCCCAAGTTTGCCCGGGTGCTACTGCAATGCGGACTTCGTCTTTTGCCCCTCTGCTATATAGCAGGCTACAACCACAAAGGAGTGAAGCTAGATATGTTTAGATAACATTAATTGCAAGTTAGATTACGGACCGCATGCAATGCGGGGTGGGGTTTCAGCTCGGCGGGCAGCCCCAAGCCCATCGTCAGAAGGGAAAAGCTCGGTTGAGTCGCTTTCCAACTATATAAAAGAATGTGAAAAAAGGATCCCGCTGCTTTTTTCATTACTTTGCGTGGGCTTAGGGGACCGACGTTTGCACCCCACGTTGCTCTCCAGTCCGTTGACACCCGTCTTTTGCTCAGTTACTAGTAATCTGGGCATTCCTGTTTGCATGCAACCAACGTATCAGAGTGTCTGTCTTGTGTTTCCCTTTTCACCTTTTTCTTTTTTTCTGTTTTCAAGTTTCTTTTTTCCTTTTCCCGAAAGAGCGGTGAGCCACCCTTAGCAAGGCTAGCGTAGAACTGGCCCTCAACAGCAGCTGCTGCAGTGTTTCACCCAGCTCAGGGCCTCTATAATCTGCTTTTGATTGCATTCTTCGTTGGTAGTTTTGTTCTGCTGCAAGAGGCCGAATCTGGGGCTTAGCAAGGTAGCCCGCATGGCCGCTTCGCTTCACGCATTCTAGCCTGTCTTACTCTCGTCTCTTTGTGGTTCACTTGAGAACTAACACTGCAGCACCCCTGCTGTCCCTTCTGGACCACTGGCCACTTCAGGCATGAACTGAATAAGTGGGGAAATGCTGCCGCTCTCTCTCACCTCCGAACTGCTCAGCGACACCCAAAGCCTCGACCAGCTCTTTCCTGTCAGGGGAGCCCCCTGTGAGGCAGCAACACACGAAGGGGGACCCGGATGGCAACCGCCACATCAGGAGGAGAGGGAAGCGGAGGAAGAGAGAGAGGGGGACCAACGGGCAGCAGCAACGGCAGCAGCGGCTGCGGCAGCAGCTCTTGTGGACTCGCCGGCAACAGCAGACACACCGAATTGTCCCCAAACAGAGGAGGGGGCTCCACCCCACAAGAAGTTAGCGACATCCCAGTCGTCTCCGTCCTGCGCCAGAGCCAATGCTCAGCAGCAGCAACAACAACAACAGAAACAGCAGCAGCAAGTGAAGAGTACGGCCCCACGGGCGCCCCCACAGAACCCTTCAGATCTGCCACCTCTGCTGCCGCTGCCCCCCAACCCTCTGCTGCATTATGGCGTCCTGAATCAGCAGCAGCACCTACAGCAGCAGCAGCCGGTGTGCGGCAGCACGAGCAAGGGCGAGGTGCCTCTGCCGCCGCTGCTGGAGACGCTGAAAGTCCAGCCAGCGCTCTCAGCCACGACTGCTGCGGCTACGACGGAAGGGGTTCCATTGAGTCCTGGCCGAGGTCGGCTGCTGCCCCGTGCTGCAGCAGCACAAGCAGCGAGCAAAAAGCCATCTCTCATGGGCCCTGCGCCAAAGCACCTCATGGGGCTGCCGAAGCCTCCCCCAGCGCCTCCAACGACACCGCCCCCTCCGCCGCTGCTGCCCAGGGCAATTTCGCAGCAGCAGGGGCTGCTGGGGTCTTTGCCGCCACTGCTGCCCACTCCAATGAGGCCGTGCGTGCCTGCACCGCCGCCGCCGCCGCCTCCCCCGCCAGAGCCGGCAGTCCCCGCAGTCCCCGCAGTCCCCGCAGTCCCGCCTGTCCCGGCAGTGCCACCGGTGCCGGCAGTGCCAGCAGTGCCGGCAGTACCCGCAGTGCCACCAGTGCCCACTGTGCCGCCAGTACCCACTGTGCCGGCAGTGCCCACTGTGCCGGCAGTACCAGCAGTGCCGG